AGTTTTTAATGAGTTTTTTTTAGCTCTCTCTTGTTTCTACCTTTTTCTTTCTTCTTTCTAATGAAAGTTGTGATTCTTGAAGCTCATTTTATGCCATTTTAGCTATTTCTACAACTGCTTTTGCCAAATCTGAAGCAAGGGGAAGCTTCCCCATGCTCCACCTACGTTTAGTGGAACTGGGTTGTTAGGAAATGGTTCTAAAAGTGGTCTTAATATTATCCTGCAGTGTTACTGTTATTATTTCATTTCCTAGACTAGAGCCAAAATTTACTGGTTTTTTGCTTCAATTTCCATTTACCATGGCTAATATTGTCAGGTCTATGTGAGGCGCATTGGATTTTGATTCTTTATATGTTATTATTTTCCCCTACTTTTTGAATTGATCTCGTCTGATTTGGCCTTGTTTGGTGACAATAGATGTCGCATTTGGAGGAGTGGGATGAACTGGATCAAGACTTTTCCAACAGCTTATCAGGTGTTACTGAAGCTTTGAGGGCTAGCACCCTTCGCCTGCCAGTTGTTGGGGCAGCAAAGGTAGAGTACGTCATTGTGTATGCTGCTGTCTTTGAGAGCAAGAGATTATTGGCTATGCGGTTCACCGTTTAATTGATTTGATTGTTTTAGTTGGGTGTCTTACTTGCAATTCTATTTCCTTTCTGCTACAGGCGGATGTCCAAGATATTAAGGACGCAATTTCTTCTGCCGTTGATGTCCTGCAGACAATGGCATCATCAATTTGCTTTCTATTATCAAAGGTGACGGTCAACATTTTTCTATTGTTCATCATTTTTCTATTGTTCCATTTTCAATAGATTTTGAAGCTGTAAAATGTTGCTAGGCCTTTGCTAAATTTATTACCATGGTCCATTGTGAAAACCCTGGTTGAAAGTATTCTAGAATGTCCACGAACTTATGATGCTTGCACATTTGATAATATACCTATATGAAAGGTGCATGAACTGTTAACATTAATTAAACGAGAAAAGGTTAAACTAGAAGGAAAGAGGAAGATTAGAAACCTACCAAATCTTTGCCAAAAGCAGACGTCAGAAGATTCTCCAGGATTGTATAAATAAGAAGTATCTGCCCAATGAACTGCAATAAGAAGCTAAAAACAAGCCAACTCCAAAATTTCCTCTTCTGTACTTCTTCAAAATATTTTAGTTCATAGCAATAGCTTTAATAGATTAAACCAGTGGATCCTTACTTTTCCCTCAGTGGGAAAACCAGTCAGCAATTTAGGAAGTTCTTGATGCATAGCATATTGCACCAAGAAATCCCAAAAGTTACAAATAAGAACCACCATAGGAGGACTCTAGACAATGGGCAGCTATCAGAACAATTTGGTACATTGTGCTGCTATAAGACCAGAGCGGCAAGCCTTTCAGAAAGGATTTCTTTACTGGGATTAAGGTGACTGAGGAGAGTTTTTTTTTTTTTAAGGAGTTTTCCTTATTTATCAAGGGTTCAAATTCCGTTCTTGAGATTACTTGGTCCTGAAATCTTGCACCACTTCACGGCAAATCAGTTCATTCCTCTTCTTTGCTAACGTTAAAGTTCTTCCTAAATTTAACTCCTGGCATGCACACTCAATAAGTTGATAGCAACTTGCAAGGGCATAAAGTCGCAGGAAATAGTTGTCAGAATATTAATTTGACAGTCATGAGCAGAGTTATGTCCAAGAACACTACCTCTCAATTCTTATTGTGTAGAAGGATTATTTATAAGTTCCACACCATAATCTTATGAATATCAATCTAGTGGTCTTCAACTTGCATGTGAGATTATCGGTCCTTTTGATGCCAATCTGCCAGGATGCACCAACCCACACCCCCCAACTGCTCCCACCCACACCCAGGATGCCTATCTGCCTTTGCAGGGTTGTCTTTCACCTTTGATAATTTCTTCACCAGTAGTTAGCATGACTACAATTTCTAACGAATCTAGTATTTTTCTCACTCATTTCTTAAGGGGAAAATGGGCTTCTTCAAAAGCACTTGAAGTTACTAGCTCTTTAGATTGCTTACCGGAAACCAAGTTCATCTCTACTCGTAGAACTTTTCTTTTATGGCTCTGAGTGGTCAGGTTTAGCTTTACGAGTTTGTTGATTCACACGAATTTAACCATCATTGTACTTAATTCATCCTAGTTATTAGATGCGGTTTATGGTCTTCGTTAGTGCATAGAAGGAACTTTCTTGTTATAACCTATTGACTAGGGCTCTTAGAACTGGAAAAAAAGATTCAATTTCACCAATATCTGTAACCTAGAACTTCTAGAGAACGATCTACTTTTCCTCATTGAACAGGGATTTCTGTAATATTTACTGTTTGAAAAATTATCCTGATATTCAGGGAACTCATATAACCACGTGAAGTTTAATTTTATATATGTTCGCAGTCAGCTTTTTGATGCTTGTGACGGAAATGGATTTAGAAACTTGGATTTAGGTAGCATGGATATTGCCCTCGGTTTGTATTTTTCTGTGTTTCTAAGCATGTTTCATTTGATAGGTTGGTAAAGTAAACTCTCTTGTTTTTGAGTTGGCGAATGTGAGTGCAAAGGAATGTACTTTGCTTGAGCGGGTAAAATGTCTATTGTCTGCAATTTCTGTACTCCAGGTAAATGCTTCTTTTGATACTTTGTTTATTTCTTCACATAAGTGTTCCCTTGGACGGACAAGTTGTAGTTTCTCATGCATATATTATAGTATGCATATATGTCTGTATTTATGTATTAAAGTTTTGGTAAATCAGGTGAAAGAGTGTAGTCTGCGAACGCAAATTTTACAGCGGAGATACGCACCTTGGACCTGACAACTTACATGTAAAAGCTGTTGACTGTTGACTGTCTGAATGCTAACACAATTATAGCAGAAGATGAAACTCTTTTCCCTTTTTGGGGAGGCAATAAGGACACTCTGGATGGTTTGTGGTTTTGGGAAGCTGAAGAGTGTCCGTCCACATATTTGATTTGGGTTTTGTTTGTTTGTTGACAGGAAAATTGTAAGTATTGTGTATTTGCATGGTAGTGTAGGTAGCAGAGATTGTGGTTGATGTCAGATTGGTTTGTGTATAGTATAGGTAGGTCCATTCATTACAGACCAGAGGTTTTCACTTATAAAATATGAATTGGTGTGTTCTTTTTTCTGAATTGAATTTGGTTTCTTCTTTTTGTTTGCCTGAATTCTCTATCATCCTCTGCAATTGAGTGAGAATCAAGAATAGAATTGGATGATAACAAGATTTGCAAAGTTGGTAAAAAAAAAAAGGGGGGGGG